GGGGGGGGGGGGGTGGTCCTCATCTGTACGCAGTCCTCAGGACCAAAAAAAAAAAAAGTTGCTCAATATTTCATCATCTTGACAGCATACTTTTCTAGTAGATCAGCTATAAGTTATAGAGCTTAGAAGCTTTTGTGCGTAACTTACTTACCAGTAATCGTACCTGACAGGGTTCATTAAGGTTCTCATCAGGAGGGTAACTGGTTTTCACAGGCAGGCAAAACATTTTCAACTGAACTTCTTTATAAGAACAATTTGCTTTAGATGGTCAAACCAGGGGGTCAAAATCATCTTCACAGCTGGCTAATTTACCTGGTGCCCAGCCTTTAATGAAACCCCTGACCTGAAGAGATTACAAGATGATTATTATTGTGTAGATTTGATCCTATGCTAATGCTCTTGTTCTTTCTTCAAGAATTTGGAAAAACAGAAGGAATCAGAAGCCACAAAGCCAGAGTTTATGAGAGTTAGCCTCAAGAAATCCACTAGAGAGGTTGAAGCTACAAGCTGACCATGAGGCATCGGACCGTGCAGACTATCACCAGATAATATTATGTTTAAGAAAAATTCAGAAGGGTTGCCATGTAAAAAAGGAAGAAGAAGATGAATTTGTTATTTTGTATTGACCAGTTCAAGTTAGATGTTCTTTCCATTATAAAGGTAACAAGATAACCCTTAGGAGATACGTAAATAATAGTTGTTTAACTTAAACAGAAAAAAATAAAATGTTTTGCTTTGTTTTTCTACGCTGCAGAGATGCCATATTTTCATTAAGAATTTCAACTGATCAAAAACACGGAAAATACATAGTTAAGGGGGTCGATTTAGTCAGTAGCTCACTGATGAATCAGTTACATGTACATTTCTTTAAGCCATACTTGATACCATTCTTGCTTTTGTATATAACGTCTGATGAAAGCGTGCACACATTTCAAAAGCTGTTGAAACACAATGGAATAAATTTGGAATGACGTAAACGTGTGTGACACTGCACCGACCGTTCAATCACAGCACGTGTTGCCAATATAACGTTCATTTTATAGTGTACTTAATACTTAATCTCATCTTTCATTACTAGTATATCATTCTCTTTATAAATATAATACGTATCTCATCGGACTAAAACAAGGGCCACTTTTTGCGACGTTATACTTCTGTAGGCTCACAGGTTATGAGATTTCTTAACTTTCCCTTGTGTTTCCTTTATTTATTTACGTTATTTTTTATATTTGATTTTTTTTGTTATTGATTTTACTTCTGTAACTTAATATTACAACCT